TAGAAGAAGGAGCAGCTGTTGCTCGCGTTTAGCGGCCTCATCGAAAAACATACAACAAAACAGTCAAACGCCTTGCAATGGGAAAGGTAAGAGTGACTCAAATAACAGGTTTACCTTTAAAAAGCTAGTTGATAATTAAAATTATTAATGGAATAGTTTTTAATGTCAAGAAGCTATATACAGTGTCATGCTTTACTTGTCCTCGTCCAAACTATGTGATGCGAACGCGCTTCAAAGTGGCATATCACTTGCTGGATGCATTTATCAACTGATGAAGTAGAAACCTGACGACTAGTTCTTCAAGCATTACAGGAATAAATGCATGATAATTTCAACATTTGAGTAGAATAGTTTGGCAGTGTGCTTTAAGGTCCAGAATTACCTAATATTTTTCACATTTATAATACGAGTCCGTTTTCTGAGATTTCTCATAAGAGATGGACACATGAGATAAAGCAGAGTGAACCACGGTGTTACAACACTAATGACATTTAGGCTTTTAATATAATAGTTTTTGAGTCCTAGATATAAATAATTATTATAACTGGAGTCAGTGTGCAAGCAAAAATTTATTATCCATCTCGGAAATATTATGAACCACCTCAGTAGGAAACGTTAAATTCTTGTGCACTTTTAAAATTTTGATACAAAACTGTGTATGGGATGGGTCATTGTTATGTACCAGATATAGAGGTCCACGTTTCACACCAAGTTTTGAGTTTGTTGTTTTAACTTGCTTTTTTACACTCCACACCTGTACGGTTTCGGACATTTCGTACGTTTTGGTTTTCTTTGTCGAAATGGGTAGTCGCAGAACTTGGAAAAAAAAGGGTGACGCTATATCTAAAAAGTGTCCTTTTGGAGATAAATACTCGGATGCTGCTTTCAGGTTATCCCCAAAGCCGGATTCACTTCCTCTTCCACCAACCGAATGGTTATGCACTCTGGAGTCGTCATCTAAATATGATCTGCACGACGCAACTAGTCATCTCCGGAACCTGTTAAACATTAAAGCATGATTTTACGCGCTGTTTTGTATTTGTAAATATTACTTGCCGGAATCGCCTGTACACGTACCTTTCATATTTTTTTGTACTTAAACATATTTTCTGGTCCTTTTGGGGACACCAAGCAAATAACGTTTTTTTTTCTGAAGGTGATGTTCACAATGGGTTTGTTGGAGGGTTGGGATAGTACGTGCATGCAAAGATGGAATTTGGTCCCGTGTGGCTCGTTCGTGACTCGTGTGCCGATTGCTTACAGTACCGGGAATCCCTGCCGTAGTGGATACTTGTTATACTTGCGCATTTCAAATCCAGGTATTGGACAGTCTCTACTCCTGACCGATCCTTCCTACTGTTTTCTTTCTTATAACACCCGGTATAATCCGCCAAACTTATCGCTGGGTTTTTGCTCACTTCGTTATATCATTGATGAGGCCGTCTCGGTGTTGAGAAACACTTTGTTGGCTATGCCGGCTTTCGATCTTCGGGTGATGTTATACGCCATGTCGACTTCTGTTTTGTTTCTTTCTCGGGTACTCCCATGAAATCCATTGGTTCTCCATCACTCGTGGTTGTCGTAATGTTATATTAAAGGAGTATCTCTGATGGTCTCTGTTCAATAATCGGTCTTAATGTAGATGTTTGGGCTTTCACCCAAATCGTGTGCGTGATCGTTTTGCTGTCAGTTCACTTTCGTTAGTTTGCTCAACGGGGTCTGATTGCTTTGTTTTGTGACCAAGGGCTAGTCTGACCGGTTTCGCTCTCGTGACAGAAGTGATGAAGGTTTATGAGGTATGTGGGGCGAGTAGATGGAATCTGGGTGGTGTATGGTTTTTTGATGTGCGCTTTTGATTTTCTTTATTCCTCGTTCTATTACCCCTATTGCTTAGTTGGTAACTATGCATTTTTAATTTTCTACCCGGCTATAAGTGGAAGGAAAGAAGATATCTGCCACTTTCTTGAGGGAGTTATTTCGTAATGCTACCGAATTGACAGTCATGACGTCTGTAAACCGATTTCTCCAGTGGCTGTTCCCTATTTTGGCTCGTGCTCAGTGGCCCTATAAATCCAGAAGAGAAGCGAACGGACTTCGAGCTTGACATCATCACATCACAATGTCGTATTTGGTAATGTGTAGTCGTATTTCACATTAACTGTGCTATCCTATTCGTTCATTAACGCGTTTCTTTTACCATGGATCTTTTTCGGGTTCTCGATGTGTTCTAGCGGTGCTGCGGATGCCAACGGCGATAGTTTGTTTACCGTCGAGAATAGCAGCGCGTACAGGATTTCTTGTGTCTGAGCCGTTTTAGTGTTATTCAAGGCGAAACCAAATTGTTTTTAACATTGGGTCGTTACGACATTTGGATTGATACCGTGGAGTCACTCAGCTAGATCTTCACAGTCTAAGTATCATTTAATTTCTTCTCTTTGTTATCCTAAATGAAAAATTGCATGTAATTGAGGACAGGCATGTCATAAAATTAATGAGCCCTTCGGGAGCACTTTCTGTGATTTTTTTCATCTCTTACCAGTGCGCACCGAAAAGCTTCGGGACCTTCACTGGGTCACTTCCGTTTTATATCGTTTCACAGTCAGCCATGAAGTGGGCAGTGTGCATGATCTCCATCCAATTGGGTGTCGCTGGCGTGTGAAGGGCACGTCTGTAGCACAACAGCCAGAAACGCGTACGTTCAATTAATTGAATAACACTCGTTAACCAAATTTCCCAGAACCCCATCAGTCTTCGAGGCTACGCCATTGAAGATTTCATGGAAGCGGGAGCAACTTTCCAAAAATGACTGAATTGTAGGTCTTTACCCAGGATAGAACATCCTGTCAGACCAAGATATGAATAAAAAGCAAAACACAACCATCTCTGTTTGTAAGGTGTACTTATTTCCATGACGCTCTGGAATAATTGCAATCTTTGTTTATAAAAACAGGCCAGTATATCAAACTAGGAAAATATCAGTCTCTGGAATCAAATAAAAGTGGTAACATGTGAAGGCCACTTTCCACACGTGAGTCTGGCAAATTTCCTTACTGAGAATTGGGTAATCTAAGTTTTATTGTGACCATTGCTTCAGTGAGTTGCAAATTTTGGGTCTTTTGCCGTCAGAAGAATATTATAAAGTATTATCATAGATAAATAAATGTGCACCAGATAATTGAGCACCCACACAAACTTTAGCCTAGAGCTTGATGTCACCAAACGCAGGCACAGCTCACGTGCTCGTGCCGTAATTGCGTTTTGCTTATTTGCCGATCGTATCTGTCAACTCGTGACGTCCTCATTGAGTTCTCAAGGCTATTAGTGCCCAATCAAGGTCACCTTGATGAAGTCATTGCGTATTGCTCAGTACTCTTTAGGGTGACCATAAAAAGCCTAAATAATTGATGTTGTTAAACCAACTTATGCAATTATTGTCAAGAAATTAAAAATATTTTGAAAAAAATTGTTTTTGGTGAGGACTTGCGTTTTAAAATGCGAAGCAAACTTGCTAACCACAATGGAAACAATGGTTTGAGCGAACTTAAACGTACGAGTCGACATTTAAGAATCAATAATGTATAATTTCAATGTTCAAACATATCTCTGGTCATTGTTTATACAGTAACTGCACCTCAATCATTTCGTGATTGACTCGACGCACAAGCCCTGGATACGGTGTAGCTATCGTCAAGGAAAGTCCGCCATCTCCATTACTGTGCGCCCCGAACACCAACTGTAATAGTCGCATCATAAGGTCTTGTTTGCTTGTTGCAGGTAATGACAAGAGATTCACACCATTCACCTCTAAAATAATCTGTCCTGGCTGAAAAAATAGGGCTCCACTGGCTTGGACCTCGTCAATTATCAACACCAATGGTGCGGGAGGAGTACAGCCATTGGGAATTGCCGTGGAAATTGGTGTGAACGCACTCCCTGGGTTAATGGGTAGTGGCTTTGGAAAACAATATTCATTCCATGCGCGAGGAAGGCGAGCATGTGGAGGAAGATTGACGCTCACCACCGACACGTAGATCCCTAATCCGGGGATTGGTTTACCCGCTTCCCACGATTCGCATAGCAGTCGGTCAGGTGGATTATGTGATGGGATAAATGTTGAAGATAGGTGGCAAAATTGAATGAGCTCGTATAGAGTGATTGTTGAGCTTGTGTGCAGTCGTGAGTGTGAGACGATTTGTCGTTGCTGACGAAGGTTTCCGATGACTGCCTCATCCATTATTTTAGGTGGGGTTGGTGAGGCTTGGCGGGGTAACGAATCAAGACCCGAAGAAGTCTCATTGGATTTTGATCCAACAGGTATACTCTCTTCCAAGGTAGTAGGCAACGACGCGTAAACAGTGCTTCTACGCTTCAGCCTTTGCACAGCTTCATTATCTGAGAAAAGAATATTGGAAGCCTGAATTGAATCAACGCATTAGGTACATAGAAAAACCATTAACACCTACTGCATGTATCCAATTCGTGACTAGTGAGTGGCGACCGCATAGATGATGACTTTTCTAGCATAAGAGCTTCACTGCTTTCGATGGGAGGTGAGATGCAGGAAGGCTGAAGTCTGAGACGGCAAGGTAATGAGCCTGGTGCCGACTGTTGTTTCACAATACGAGGATGTGAGTAGTTTCTCACTCCATCCACAAAGAATCTGTTAGTGGTCTGAAGGATGAACGGTAGGATCATTGGCATCGTTTAAAAATGTTATAACCCATACCAGATCAATTTTGAAAAATTGATGTTCGTGTCTACGCAGGACTGTGAGGACTGTTTCCATGTTCGAGTTAATAAAATAAGGGAAACTATGATGTTGAGCTGTGCCTGAGAAAGAATTGAGCTTTAAACAAACTCAAATGAAGTCTACTGAAACACCTCCGCTTATCCTTACCACTTCGATTATTATTCTTTGCCTCATTACCTTTTTCGATGCTCTCCAACTTCAATTTTTCTTCGTTGCCATCCCTGGTTTCACTGCTCTTCTTTAGCACAAAGCAAACAACTTGCATTTTCATTTATTTCTTAATTAATATTTACAGAATTATGCTTGAAAAGGACATTTATACTTGGAAACTCCTGTCAAAATTTTACTTAGTGTTCTCTTTAGTGTGATAGGAACATTCAACCTGTAAAAAGCAAAATGAGCCTTAAAGTGGGATAAGAAAGATAATTTCCGAGGCAACCTGCACACGAAGTTTGTTTAAAATTGAAACATTTCAACCAAAGTACCTGTAGACTCGACAAAATTTGTAACACAGGTGTTACGGCTCTTCCTAAGTGGAGGGGAATTGCTAAGTTATATTCAGTTACATTAACCTATGGGCCCTACGCACAAAAAGATCTAGCCGGGGATAACTTTTGTCAATGGATATTTGACCACGCAAATGTAACCTAAATTGCCGACTTGAAAGTCTAACCGTCGATAAGTCTGCTTGATCCAAGGACCGAATTTCACGAAGGGGACTAGGTGTTTGCAGCAGCTGCTGTGATTTCTGCTTGGAGATAAGGGCCTCCACTCTGTTGACCATCTCGGCGACGCGTCCCACCGGCACATCTACGTCAATTGCTTCGGAGGGAGGCAAGCTCGCACTAGTCAAGTTATGCGCTGTTGGTGGCTTAGGAGGCTTTGTACGTAGGCTCTCCCAGCTCAGCTGGCGGGTCTCACTGTCCTGTGGGCATCGAGTGAGACTTTGTATCCGGCGTACCCCACTGGTTCTCGTGCGCATTACTCCTGCTTCTACCTTCGAAGGAGTGTCAAGTGAAGCAGTAAATGGTGTAGGTTGAGAGAAGCGTTTAGTCGGGTCTGCGAAAAGACTTCGTCGCCGAAGTTCAAAACAGTCGAGACCGATGGCTGTGGTCATGCCACTAGTGGAAGAAGGCTTCGGATGACTAGGGGAACCACTTGGACTCGTGGGAATGGCAGGTGGTGGGTAGCAGCCCAAGGTCTGGGCCCGTTGCGCACGTCTCCTTTGACTCCTTGGCTGCCGTCTCAGAACTACCTTGGGTTCTGGTGGTGATGGTCTGAAGTAGGACGCATCCATTTTACATTCGTCAACTTAGTGTTACATGAAGAACAATAATAATGGAGAATTAATTAAAAGACGAACTGACCTCATTGGGAGACGTCAATTTCTCCACTATGATGGACTCAGTAAGTATGCTTATTTTTAATTGAAACACTTCATATTGGAAGACGGAACATGTGAGTGGGAATCATTGACATCGATTTTGTTATCAAGATTGTCTCGGCATTCAATTATACCTTTGTAGCACTACGATTTTCACACAGTTATTAGTTAATTTTGGTAGCCCGTCGTATTTTTACATTTTCCAAGTTTAGGTTGTCAAATTCGTTAACATTCACCTATCAAGAAACGTAATCAACAACCATTTCATCACAGAAATTCAATAAATCATTGAATAGAAGTACTTTATATTCGAAGATTTGACCGGCTATCTTTTCCTATATTAACCCAAAACAGCTTTGGATGCAAATGCAATATTGTAACAGTAACTTCTCCTTTCGTTACGGCTATTCGAATTGCATAGAATCTGGTCAGTAGTGTTTATTTTATCTCTCCTCTGATTATACTTGTTTTTTTAGTATCTGAACTGTTTAAAAGAGCTCTGGTTTTCCTGTTCCTTGTGCAAAAACCCTTAAAATTCAGCCATATAAGACCAAGAGATTAATGTAAAAATGGGTGAAAGAAGAAGAAAAAATGCATAAGGAAACACCTAGGTATTCCGCCCTTTAAATCCAAAAGCTCTTCTATTTTCCTAATAAATCTTACGCCGATCAGCAGCATTCAGTAGACATTCCCATACCAAAATTCCTGGCTTGACAACATGTAAAGTCTATGAAGAACCACTTACTTCATTCGAACCTATTTCATCCAATAAGGTTAAATATGAATAGTAACACAAAATCTGGTATAACGAAGTCACTGATAATTAAGTTAAAATTCAGATTATGCTAATATGTAATTAGCGTAGTCTGTTTTGGATAGGTTCTGTGCTGGGGGATGAAAGCACAAACATTTTGGCTGAAGTTTAGGAGTACATATTCGGTGTTTGTGGAATTTGACTAAAAAGAAGGAAAATTGGACTAACATAATAAAAAATGGGGAATTAGAAAATGAACGAGATTTAGGAATCCGAATTATAACTAAAGAGATCTTCCGCGGAGCTTAGCAATTATTCAACAAGCAGTGAAATCCAATTAGATTCCGTAGAAATGATCGACTGAAAGAGGGTGATTCGTTCGTTGTCGAATAAGCACTTCCGTCAGTAAGGCTAGGGCAGTGAGCAGGCTGCATTAAAACTAACTCTTGTGGAAACCCATTGAACACGTGAACAAGGCAGGGTATGAGAACGTGACAGAGTGTCGTGTACACAACTGCTTATCCACGCAATAGATACGATGCCCTTGATGTGAGTGGAGGCGGGCGTATGTATGGCGAACTTGGTAACGGAGGCAAGTGAAAAACAAGAGTGAGTCACATACCGAGTGATTTGCTCTCAAGACTTTTTACTCACGCGGTTCCGGTGACAATCCGATTAAAGGTTTGCAACTCAATGCACCCAGCCAGGGAGGGGACGTGAAAACTTGAAATCTTATTAAACAAAAAGCATTATAAGGTGGTTTTCTATTTGGTGTGATTTAACTGCGAATCGTCACAGGAATTCAACAGCGATTTTGAAGAAACGAACGAGTAGTTGAAACTCACTACGTAAATCTTCTGATCTAGAGAACGTAAATGTTATCACATTCTGTTATCATAACAAATAAGCTTTACATTACAGAAAAATATGTATTAAGAGAAACCAAATGGCACATGATGACCCGGTATGTTACTGTGGTTTCGTGTTGTATATAGCACAGCTCTTTGGTTAAAAATGCATCAGAGAATGACCACAAATTGCCTTTAAAACGCAATCAACGTTGCTTTTGGGATTAATATCACCTTTCTATTCTAGCTGTGCGACAAATGATGATGCATCAAAAAATCTAACACAAAAATGCTGCTATAAATTAACTAATGCAGGGTCATTTTTATCTTTTAGGAGTAAATACCGATACGAGGGAGTCAATAAAAATTACAAGATGAATCCTCTGATACACATTAAAATGCCTATCATCGGATACCATTAGAGTCCCGGGTGTGGCCCATTTTCTCCTCTTGTTTATATGGGAGCGTCTGGGACGAATCACGAACTTACTCGTTGTAACTGATCTGCATATTGAGCGAAGGTGTCATGGGTGCAGGACATGAAGCAGGAGGCGCGGTTGCTTCCGATGACTGGTCCTCTGATTCAGTGCAGCTCAGTGACCAAGGTGAGCCGTCCAACTCGGATAGAAGTGGGGGTACTGGCGAAACACTCCGAGGTTGCCTGTTTCTGGTGGCTTCTTCCCGAGGGACTCCCGTAATTTTTAGACTTTCAGTTGCCATGTAAGTGGGCTATTTAGAAAAAAACACAGACGTAGGAAATAGCTTTCCCTTCCACAAAGGAGGTAGGCTAGTGTGCTAAAAGTGTGCACTGTGTCGGTGGCGTCAGAAACCACCAGATGAAGTCACCTTAAAATTATTTCTTATTCTGCTTTAATCACTTGAATTTAGTGTAAATATTTAATGCCACAATGCTGTCCAAGCTTATCCTCATGTATTCACGACATTTATGCCAAAGGAACTTAATAGTCACTAACGGAGTCAAATGCAGTTATTTTTAAGAAAAACTTTTTCAAAGGTAATACAAAAGTAATTTGTTTTGAAAAATTAATCATAGATTTTGTGCCGTTATACACACCACAACAGGTGACACGACATTGCGTTCGTGGTTAATTATGCGTAGGTAAACATTTCATTCCGTAAACAGTTAAATCAACGTGCAGAATACCAAGTTTTTACTACGGCTTGCGTCTGTCATTCCGGGAAAGTGCAATGAATAACCATAGTTTCAGCTACATCTTATCTTAACGTTGTGGGGTTATTTAGCTTTGCGCTATTCTGTGGAAAGTTGAATATAGTTAACGAGAGTTTGATAAGAATTTTGAAACAGGAATGGAATCTTACGTTAATTAGTAGCAAGGTAGTTTAAATGGTATCATTAAAGTAAAAGGATTGATTACAAAAAGCCATCGGTATTCGGTTGATTGATTGAAAACGATATCAATATTCAGTCACGCATTGTGAGCAATTTAAAGAGCAAGACTTTGAAAAGAAGCTTCTTTGAAAGGCTCTGCTTTTCTCGTAGGAAGTTTAACATTAGGCTTACGTTTGAAGTTACTGATGAAGCTTCCTATAATCCTGACTGTTTAATGCCAAAAAATGATCAAGCAAATTAAATTTATTTGAATTCGCTTCAGTTTAAATTAGCACTTAAGTCTTTTTATAATTTTGCCACCTTCGATCCAAAACCATTGTATCATGAGAAATGCAGGCATAGTGGGCTAAAATCCGACATAAAAAGAAGGAAATGCAAAAAAAACATCAAGCGGGTTATAAAATTAATTGGACAAAAAACAAGATAGAAAGATTTGACTGGAGTCAGTTTTAAATGTAACCACAGTACGTGTCTTTACCTAAAAAAATCATGTGGGGCTTTACTGTTGCACATTCATTTGGTTCAATTATTTAAGGATATAACTAGGGTCACCTTATGCTGAAAATTCGGCATGACCGGGAATATTACATGAAGGAATATATGTTTGCACGATAATTAGGTGTTGTGCAAAATGTGTCGTTTTTGAAACAATAGTAGTAATAACTTATCGGAAATTAATGAGCAACATTGTGAAAAATTAACTCGGCTTTGAGCACCCTCACGAATTACTTTACACAATAATCACGCAGTTTAATCATAAAGAATTGCATTTTATGCGTGTTCAACATAAAATCCATATTAAGGAACTTGAAAAAGCGTAGACCTTGGAGTGGTTTAAAGTCACCCAAGACAGTGAAGTTAGTAAAAACCACCGACACGACTAGATTAAGAAGGCCAGTGTATGAGAAGGCAAATGCAATCCCCACGAAGCGACCAAATGACTATACTTCCGCATTTCTGACTATTTATTCACATATTTAGGACCCCGCAAACTTTCTCATAGAATTTTACCGAAAATAAATGTATGCTTTAATAGCTACGTTCATACAATTTGACAACGTTGAATGATTACTACCTCTTGATCCCACTAACGTATATTTGCCAGACATTTCTTAAATTAAGTGAGACTTCTGATAAAAAACGGATTGTCAGACTATGTCCACGTACAAGTTTCGTTCTATGCTACTTTACTAAGTTTTCTTTAGATTTCTAACTGATACGGAGATTTTATTTCAGTGGTAACGATAAGTATTAATTATTGACATTTTAACTTATTCACATTTTAACATTCAAGTAACATACATACCAATTGAACTTTCAATGATTGCAACTACTATGAAATTGTCGGTCATTTCGTGATCCGACACAGTTTTATCTGTACCATATTTGTTGGTTGTTATTTATTATTCCCTACCTATTGAGGACATTCAATATCACAAGAAAATGTCAACCCTTTCATACAACAGGCTTTGAAAACGTTATCATTTTGATGGTCTTTTTCTTACGAAACGTTGGGAAACCGCATTATGCTTTGTAAATTTACCTCGAGTGCCAGAAGTAATACTTAAATCATAGTGTTATTCTTTGCTACGAATGCATAATTAACCAGAAATAAAACAATTTGTTGATGTTCTAGTAATACGTTTTTTTGGAAGATGCAGACAATGAACTCACGTTGCTGTGATTCTGGGTGCGCTGCATGCAGAAAAGCGTGTAAGAGTTTATGTCTTAAGAAACAGTAAATTGAAACGAATTCAGTGTGTGCAGGCATCTATTACCATCCGATTACTGGCGCACACACCCATACACCATAGAGTGACCTTTAGATGTGTGAGTTACAGACCAATCAGGCAAATGCATTTACTAAATGAGCATTAGAAAGCAAACGACGAAAAGCGATACGGCCGCACCATTTGCAATTACAGAGCTGAGGCCAAGCAGGCCATCTAAGCTCAGGACAACTCGATTTCAAGTTCGATTTCAGATCGCTAGCCGTTCTTCAACAATGAAAGCTAACATAATGGAGGTTATTTTATCCATGAAGCATTTTGTTGATCAATGTGGGGAAAAATAAATACCAGTCACAAAAGATAAACCAGGGGTTATTTATGGGTTCTAAAATTATTTTTTGAATAAATATTAATCGCAATAAAGGGAATTAGGCTGCTGTGTGTGAAAAAATGACATCTACGAAGGCCATCCATTTGTTCAAAACAACAACATTGGCCAACAAAACGGGTGATCCCACCATTTCACTAACAGTGGAAAAGCGCATCATTTCAGAAAAGTGATTTAAACTACGTGACACCGTCTATTTTAATTGCCCTTGAGCAATGGAACTGTTTTATTCATGTGCAAAATAAAAGCAAATTGTTACAAATGAGAAAAGTGGGTTACCACTGTCGTGGGCCCTAGCATGTGGTCTTGAACCACGCCCGGGGCCACAGAATTAACCCTGGCCCGATTACGCCTGCCCGATACCCGCGATGAAGGAAAAGGCCGGAGAGGACGGACACAAGCGTTTACTTCAGAGGTCAACCACGTTGGTGTCGTTGTGTCGAGTGTGGGGTTTGTGCGTTTGTATTTACAGCTCGGATGTGTGAGTCACACATGCCCTGACATCGAGACCTAGGTTTGGGGATGCTCCAAGATAAATATTCGTGCTAATGATGGGGGGGGGGGTTGAGGATTCGTGCGGCTGGCGATATGCTGCGAAAAGGGAAACCCTGTGTAGGAGGTATAGCGACCGGATAAAGGGTTGAGTAAACACGATTCACTACACACCTTGGCTACTCACGCGGTCCTGTAATTACCACTGATTCGAAAAGTGAACGTTCAGGACACCAAATTCAATTTTAATTCAAACTATTTATACACAAAAATGTACAAATGAAAGCTGCGATAATTTCAGCTTTAAACGGTTGCCAGAAGAAGAAAAAATGCGTAATAGCAGCATGAAGTCGACGCGTTTTTATCTAACCAGACTATATTATTTTCAATTTTTTCATTGTGCTTTATTGTTTACTTCTGAGACACCATAATGGCCTTGATGTGAGCTTTGGACCACACTGGATTTGATGATTTACATAGATAAGCAATGAGATAATCGGAAGAGCAAAAGAGGACAAAATATAATAAGAGTTTGTAAATGTATGCAGGGATGTAAATTGCAAATAAAATCGGACAAAGGTAAATGTAATCTGAAAGTAGAAAGAAATCCCCTTATTTGGATTGCAGAAATAACTCTTTAAAGTTCGTACGCAAGTCGCCAACCAATTAAACTCTTGTGAGAAAGAGGTCACTCAAACTGCGATATCAGTCCAATTTGATGTATATCACAAGTTGCCTAACCATGAGCCACACTGACTTTCCTGACTGCAGCATTACTTAAAACCCTAAAACGTTTTTTTTGAGATTGTATGAATATCCAAAAAATGCTTGATCAACAGCTTATAAAAACAGTGCAAAACAGACTTTTTAACTAATTTGCGATATACCTGCATATTGTGCCGCTTTGGTCTTAACAAATCACATGGTCAGCTCAACATGGGACTTAATTTAGTCGTCAGAAAGCGCAGTTTTTAGGCCATTGTGCAACTTAGTTCGTCTTGCGAATTAACAAGTGATTTTACCTGCTTGGACTATCTTACCCTTTAGCCTATGATAGCCTCGGTTGGGAAACTATAATTTAACCTGCTCGCTTGTTGAAAATCAAGGTAGCCTTTTTGGTACTGACTTGTATTACCCTGCAAACAAAGGTGCTATAGATATTTTGAAAGCAGTCTATACTATGCATCAATTAATTGGTCAAAGGATTGCCCTTAAAATTGTTGACTGTTGTACTATCTTTAAGAATGACAGTACTTGTTGCAGACACAAATTAGCGTCTGGCCTTTGGGATGATTCAAAAATCTAAAAACAATGTCTGCACTCCCTGTTGGTAACATACATTGTTTCATAAAAAATTTAGCATACTCTATCAAGTCTAAATACGATAGCGCCAAATTCGGTCGGGTGGGCCTACATCCTCGTTCGTTCTCGTCCTTGTCGGTACACACCAAAGACAACTACAGATACCTTAGAACGACCTATTGTAGCATTGTAACTTAAAAATAGGTATTTTTCAATTCTTGGATATGAATATCCTACAAGTGGCAATCAAGTCTGACAAAAACTCCACTTCCTCGTTTCTAAAAAATGAATGTTTTAGGTACTTTTCGCTTTATACTACGTTTCATTTGGGTCACAAAATGTAATTTTTGTTCGTTTACCGTTTTATAATAATCTTCAAACATTCTATGTTCCCCAGTGAAGTCAGCCTGGTAAAGTCAGATTTTAGTTATTTGACCAATTTTTGCTTTCTTAGTAAACCAAGGAAACGTCGTATTTGTTTGTGATATGATCGCGCTAATTAGCAAGGCTCAAATGATTAGTTTTAAACTTAGTTTATTAGATATGATTTACAAACACTAGAAAGCACATTTATGTTTTTCTAGTGTTTCATTACAAATGGTTTTAGCAGATTTAAGGCTGTACTAAAAGGGCTGTTCATAAACAAAGCAGAAACAAATCTTTGCAGTTAAATTTTTGAATTATAGGAGAAATCGGTGTGGACAATAAAGCTACTCCGTTTATGAGTTAAAAAGGTGCCAAAGTAAGATTGATGGGTTTTTCAATTTACAAAACATTTTCATGTTGGAGAAAATGAATCTTCCCTGGTATTTTTGCAAACGCAAGCTCCAACCTGATGAAATCTTGTAGTCACTGTGTGTTAATATTAGTAGATAAAAAGGAACGGGGAAGGATAAATATTTGTGCAGCTTGGATGATAGAATATTTAAACAAAAAATGAGAACTCAAATAATCGATTTTAAAAAAATTCTTACACCAAGGCGAATAGAAGTAGTACAGGCTGATAGTCGAAGAATGACTTAACTAGTTCTTTATTCGTAACTGCCGAAAATATATCAAATGAGCGGAGTTCAGTAAGTTTTAATTGTTTGAAAGGCAAAATCAAAATACAAATCCTAAAAATGACGGCAAGATAGAGCCAATAAGAAAAAATGGAAGAGTTTAGGATTATCCATTGCAGTTGGCTAATTGTTCTAGAATCTCATAGTGATTTACTAATTATGCATAAACATGCCAAAAAACAAGTCTCTGAGCAAGTCTCTTGTCTGAATTATGATCGTAATTAAAGTTAGTTTGGTTTTTTTAAATTTTATGTGACTACGTTCAACAAAACAACAGAGGCTAAGGGGTTTGTTTAAATCTCCTGAAATGTGGGCAGACTTTAACTCCCGCGTTTATCAGTGTCGTTGGGCGTCTGGTTTCCACCTCTTTTGAGTAGCCTAGGTCATTTTGTGTAACAACGAGCAAGAATCACTGTAGTATTACGCAGCCAGTGTTGGCCAAAAACATTTGGTGTGTTGGAAAAGTGCCGATAGGACACTGCTAACATATTTTTAGCTCATCAGTTTGTCTACCGTTTTCGAATAAAATATTTCTTGTTATAGGTATTAACATTAAAATTAAACTAGTTTTGCTTACAATTTATCAGTTTGCAACTGCCAGTTTCCGAGTTATAAAACATTATATATCATATGTTATGTTGCTTCAATCGATCATCTCTAGCCAGTTGTACATCTAGTAGAATCTCGCAATTTTTAGCGTCGTGACACTGTAGTTCATTTCACTATATCTCAGGTGTGCATTTGTTATGAAAAAACTCATTAACGGGTCTCTCCGTATAAAGGTGGAGAAACAAGGTAAGTCTGGTCATTGAAACAGACTGGTAGACTCTTCAACACGCCAATTATTCCGCTCGGTTTTGAAAAAAATTGGAGTATTATTACCCGAAATACTGGAAGAACCAGTTGTTGGTGATCTACTTGAGCAGTTTATCAATGCATCCAACAAGTGGTTTGCCACTGTTAGGCGTGTTCGCTTCTCTCAGTTTGTACGAGGACCAGTGGAGCATAGCACTGTACATGGCTTTCTCTTCCGACGTTTTCGGCGACACATCCCAATCACCTGCCTCATGGGAAAGAGAAATCTGAATGTGTTTAGGCTTTATATCCTTTTTTATCCACAACGTTTTAACATTAAAGTTCTACTGTGCAAGTTGTCCTGGTTTTCCTTAACTGCCCATTGATGAACACATTTACGGTACTTTGTAAGTATGCCGGCGGACGCTCACATACCAGTATATATGGTGACTCGACGTCTTCAGGTAATTTATCGTAATCTAAATGGCAAGCTTCAGATGCCGCCCCACGAAAATGGGTTGCGATTTTGGAAAGTTTATCGTTATGTTCTGGTGGTGGTGACATTTGTGCACTTAATTCCGGCGCTTTTAAAGGTTTGTCCAATTTTGGGACTAATGGCTTACTTCGAACCAATTAGTCTATGTTTCGGTGCGTTTTCTGCCATAAGCGCAACGGTGCTATACAATACTTCACGATTGAGGAGTGGACAAGCGTGATGTCAAGACAAAAGCAAGGTAATCGTTTTTTTGGCCATCATGTTGCCCTGATCACATGGCTCACTCAAAGTCAATTGTTTTGCCCTCGGGGGTAGCGTTCGTAGTTGGGCGTTCATCATAGTGCAGTGCTGAGGAGATTACTTAAGTGAATAAGGTTGGAACAAGGAACAATTTGTTGATTTCGTATGATGGCAGACACAATGCCCAATAGAAAGAGAAGAGTTGCTTTAAATTTCCAAAAACGTAGGTTTAACGTCGTGGAACATTTGTTGATGTGTTAGATCTTCGGCAGGTCGTCGACCCTTCAGTTTCGAACTTGAATTAACCAGACTTTGAAATGCCGTAGAACATTGGCGTAGTACCGGCAAGATCTCAGTTGGTCGTTAAAAATCAGATCTAATGGTCTTTTTGTGTACGTCTCTCTTGTAATAGGTAACATGAGAATGCATATGGAGTTCATAGCAAACTTCCCACATTCATGACCTTTGTTATTCATACCCTCCATTAAGCAAATATGCTCGCAAGTGCTTGTCCACGCTGAGCCTCTATTTTATCAATTGATGTTGAGTTATCTTAACTCTACCGATTTCTTATAAGATATGCATATTTTTACAAAACACTGGAGTCTGATTTAGCGGTATAAATAGGTAGAACATATCAGTCTAGATTCACTATGGTTTTCAATTGGTGGCAAATTTTTGGCTAATTTGTTATGATTTAAAAGTCGGCCTTCAAGTTTTCGATTGCACAGAAAGATGCAATAGCCAGTGAGCTCTAGCATGATCCATGGGTTGTGTCGCGTGTAAGCAAGTGATGAAGTTTTAGTAGATTTCACTTTATTACTGCTGAAAATCAAAGAACGCTTTTTGAAATCGTGAAATGAATTCGCGCCCTGTTTAACTCATGTCACACATTCATAAATAGTTTCTGCCACTGAGCAAAGTAGATGTTGGTGGCCTAAAATCGACTCACACGGGATTACTCGTTGTTATACTCTGGTGGTGGCGGAGTATGTACTCGACTCCAGCGCTTTTATAGACTAACTCACGTAATCTAACAGTATCATGACTGACTTAGAAACCATCATCATTTGATTGTGTAGGGAATTGGGGAGGCACAATACACTTGTGCGAGGTCATACTGGTCAATCAGCTGGATGCATGTGTGAACCATCAATTTGGCGAAACGAAAATAGTTGCGCCACATTTCTACCCAAGACTTTTTACCTAAACTCGACGACGACGCGTTTCGCCTTAAACAGCAGCGTTAGTAGATTTCATGTTGCAGGAGAACGGTTCGTAATCACATGGCCACAGGGGCTAGTTCGCACTTACTCGGCATAATTGCATTGCAGTAGTACTCTACGAGTTGCTACAACAAGCAATATAATAGCTCTACTAGGTTGTTCGCAATTGTGGTCCAACATCACAACACGTTGTGTATTTTGAACTAGTGAAAATAGATTCCCTCCCATTCACAACTGATGTCGGTCCATTTTGTGGCTGGTGAGTGTCGTTTATCGGATGCACTATTGGGTGTTTGTAGTTTTCAGTGTGAGCAGCTTGTCTACCTCATTGCCCACAATTTGTGTTTGTTACTTTCTACTTGCAAGCAAGTGCTTTGTGATTTTTGATCTGTTGATCTTCCACAGTTGATTTGATTTGTAATTTTAGTATTCTGTGATGAGGGTATCTTAAAATCGGTTTCCACCAGCGCCCTCACGGACGGAGGTGTTCCTGCCTGCAAGAGTCATCTTGTCCTCAAGAGCAGCGGAACCTTCAGACTGGTTTCTCTCCCGATTCCGTTTAGCACTCGCTTTCGGCAGCCTGGTGGGTTGGCCGATTTTCTTCGCTTTTTGCATGATCAGGCACGTTGAGACTGCATCAACACATTTTCTTTGCACATAGTACAGCTAATCAGGCAGCCTTATGGGCTTTGATTTATTGGAATAGAAATGAATGCGTAACAAAAGTGTGTTAGTTTCCATCTATGAGTGCTTCAACGCCTGTTAAAAAACGTGCGTTTTTTAGAAAGTTGCCTTAAATTTCTGCGCTTCTGATCGCCGAAGTATCCTTTCTATGTTCAAGAGGTATCATCCGTGATAAAATGAAGCAACCTAACCGGTCGCTTCATTTAAATTAGGGCTTGGTGTGCACACATTGATTCTATTATGATAGGATCAAATGATGACTAGGGGCGACAAGGAGTGTGTGCCGAAAGGTAACCTACAGGTATAGGGTGATGCCCTTCAATCGTAGCCTCACCACCAGACACACGATGGATTGAGCAGAGTAGAAGGAACCGGACGCAAGGACAAAGTGACTAGAGCCTATGAATAGAGCTGATGTCGGAACGTGGAGACGATGGTTGAAATGGGGGTCAGGGTTGACCCGCAGGCCTGCGGCGAGCGAATGTGGCGTGAGGACTATAACTGAAAGGCCAGCCCGTCTTGCTTTGGCCGAATTACGCGCGCCACGAAGGCGTCGGTCAACATTGTTTGTCAACTCTCAAACAGACTGCCATAGAGTATTTATAGTATATCGGCATAATTTTCTCGAATTAGTTTTGTAGTTATAGTGCGTGAATTATGCACCTTCAAGTAAATCGTTGCTTCAGTGCTTTTTAACATCATCGAACTACAACACTTGCTACTCAAATGTGATACTTCATTCCTGAGTTTTTTGCAACTGTTCGGTGCAGGCAAGCACACAGGTGTTAGTTATAGCACCGTTCTGATGTGACTGAGTAAGATTGTTTTATGGGGTTCTGGCGTTCATCACGTCAACTCCGAGACCTCCCACCTCTCTTTGATGTGGTTCCAGGTAGGGCGGTGCTTCTGGCGTCGTGATTAGCAGCCGTCCTGATCGGCAAAACGTAAATGGAAGCAGAGCACTAGCCTTGTTTGTTACTTACCCACTTCGAAGCCCCAAACCATCGAGAGGACCGAAGCCAAACAATGACAAAGCAGTTTTGTTTGAAATTCAGGTCCCTTTCGTATTCAGCCCTACACTGTTGTCTGTACGTTCTGCTTTCGCGGCTCTTTCTGATTTCCGTGCCCTCTTCCCTGTCGACCAGAGGCAAGTTAACTTTCTTTTGCTCCCTCATATTCATTACCTGCATTAATTCACAAGCTGTTGTGTCAATGAATTTATTTAAAGCTGATGCAGTTGACGAGTTTTTGCTCGAGAAATAATTCTTCATTTTGATTTTTATCGCTGGACATGATTTGTTACAAGAGACGTTCCATTTCAACACTGCGCGTAACGTGTCGCATTATTTTGCAGTAACTCCGTGTGTGACTTAGTTGAAGCCCGATGTCGTGGTTCCTTTCTCTAGTTGTCGGAATTTCCAGTCATACATTTCCCTACCAAAATTTGACAATTTTCAGCCTCCTTATTCTTGTGTAATAGTACTAATCACCATCTACATAATCCAATTTTACAAATTAATTATTGTTTAACAGCCAACAGCATGGTTCATACTTGATGGATATAACTATGCACCCACTCAAACACAGAGAACGAGAGAACCGGGAATTCATTGGTTGAATTAATTCCACGAGGAGGCGTGTGTAAATAGGGAATTTGCAGATGACCTACTACTTCTGG